TAGTGTGGAATGGGTGAGGTTTTCAAAGCCAGTGTTTTGTAGCTCTCTCTGTTGGGCTGCAGTAATTTACAGAATCACACAGTATGATTAGGGATAGAAGGGAGCTCTGGAGACGTAGTCCAACCCCCTGCCAAGGCAGGGCCACCTAGAGCAGGTTGCACAGGAATGCGTCCAGATGGGTTTTGAGTGTCTCCAGAGAGAACCAATAACTTCAGTAATCAGGATGCAGCAGTGAAAATTGAGATGAAAACTTTTATAGGTAATCTCAAGACCTGTAACTGATTTAGGCTGAAACACGGGCCTCTGGAGGTCACCTGGTCCAACCTGCCCTGCTGAAAGCTTGGCCAGTGTAAAATGGAGGTGTAAAATGACAGTGGGTTTAGCTTAGTCTTTGCTGTAATCTCCCTAGGTAGGTACAGAAAGGAAAGTGATCCCCCAGGCGTTTTCCAGAGTAATAGACTTAAGCGTCTCGGCCTGTCCTTGTTCCTCATGTACTTCAGCCCCCTAATCCTTTGGTGATCTCTCTGCTGAGCTTGATTCAGTCCATCTTTCATACACTGAGCAGTCTGAAACTGGACATACTCAGCGTGTGAAATGTCACTTACCAGATTTAGACAGAGGACTGTCAAGCACTGCAGGGCAAATACTGTTAACTTAATCTTTACTACAGCTTGAGATGGTGCATTTTCAGAAATGCCTGGTTTTATTCTTTTACTTGTGAGGAACCTGAGAATAATTTTTTGTTTTTACCATATCACTGTTTCCAGAAAGGCTTATTTACATTGTCTAGCTTGTCTAATTTGTAGCCAGACTTGTTTTCCACAGCCTCAGATTTAATCAATATGTTTCTCATGCTCTAAAACATTTTTCTATCTAAATTGAACTGGGTAGTCACACATCATTTTAGTTACCCTACTGATGTATTTTGCCTTGTGTGGCATGTTATATTGGTTTACATTGTTTTTCTTGACATTGGGCATCAAGCAAACCATTGTGGTTGTCTGATTTTTGAGTGGAAAAGTAGTTTTCTGCCTGCTTTATTCTTAAGGTCTGCTTTCAATTTATAAATTACTGTTTGTTTGATCTGCATGCAGGGATGTGCACTGTACCATATTTCAATGTGTCATAGTTAAAAGTCTCTAAAAGTCATACCAGAATAAATGTTTATGGAAGAAATGGGAAAGTGGATGTTCTCGGAAACAGGGATTAGGGGAACGGGGAGGAGACAGTGAGTATATTATTATCAAGCATGGATCAGTCTTTCACGTAACTAGTGGAAAAAGGCACTCTGCCCTTGTTGTATCTTTTACCTGATAGCTTGTGACATCCAGCAGGCTGGGTGGTGCTGCCAGAGTAGGAGCTAGCTGCGATGGATCTGTTTTGGTGCAAAGTCGAGGTCATCCATTCAGACCCTTGGCTTCGTTTCAGACTGCTCGTATGGTAATGTTTTTCAGTCCTATCACTTTGATTTTTGCCAAAGACTGCCTTGAGCTAAAATCCTCTCGGGACCTGCACAACATTATTTTTGGCAACTGCAGCACTTGTGCTATGGGCTGTTGGCAGGTTGAATCACTTGCTTCGTTTGTAAGATACCATGTAGTGTTTCAGGATGTAAGGACAAATCAGCTTGCAGCCTGAGCTTGTCACAGCTGTCTTGCCTTTCACCTCATGGGAAAAGATTTATCAGGAGTAATTATGTCTAATTGAGCCTCTCTTGCTGTCTTGACAATTTTTCTTTTTTTTCTGCTAATTTGGTCAGTGGACATAGATGAGATAAAAGTGTAAACAGTGCCTCTCTGAATGGCTTCATGCTTCTTGGATTATTTAAATGATTCTTTTAATCTGCCGTGAAATTATGTGGGTTGTTATGTGGTATTTCATCTTAACTCCAGTTTTCTACCTCTTGAACCATATTATATTCCAATGAGGAAGGTTTGTTTTTTACCATCTGTACAGGACAAACTTATTTTTTTCATTTCTTTGAACTGCCGGAGTAGTGCATGTCTGCTTTTTTTAACCTTTGTTTTCTTTTATGTTGGATGCAGGTGAAAATTGACTTCTCCCCACCCTTTACTCACCTGAAGGGTTCATGGTTACAAACTTTTTCAAGTTGGGAACAATTAAGTGCATTTCTTATAGAAACTTCACTGTTCAGGAGCTTCTGAAAATGGCACTGAAAGTGAAAGGGTTTATCAGCTGAGTATGGGTATAGCTAATAGTGGTACTTTCTGCTCCTTTTTGATGGATTTTGTTTTTGTTGCTCAGATTCCTAACCTTACTGTTGAAATAATTGTAGTAGTCATGAGTCAACTAAAACTCACTAAACTTGTAGCAACCTATTTCTTAGTTTATACATGTAATTCATGAACATTTCAGGAGAAAAGAAGGCTGCATTTTAGGGTTGGATGTCTCTGCCTTAATTTATACAAAATAGAGGTATCTTATATGGGAAGCTGTGGAGATGTTTTTGTTTCTGAGTGAAGATCTGCCTGGTGTCCTGGATATCTTGAAATACAAATGGTATTTCTATTTTGAGGACGAGGAATTGGAAGATACAATTAAGAGGAAGGGACATAAAACTCCCATTACTTCAGACTTGAGTTTTCTTTGTGTGAACTGCTGTGTATGTGGAATTTATTGTAGGACAGATAAAGTGAAGAAAATTGCAGTATGGTAAACCTGAATTAAATTTTCTTTCTTTGCCACTAAGTGCATTCTTGAGCATATTCTTTTTTGGTTTTTTTTGCTGTTAAAACCTGGATATTCTTAGTACCAGAATATTAGAATGGCCAGAAATATTTGACTTGCAGCCTAAGCCAGTCTTTAGAGAGGGAGTTTTGCATATATGTGGGGATTATTCAAAAACTGCTGTCATTGTTTTCTTCTAGGACAGTGGTATACCAGACAAACATGTAAGATATGCCTTGGCTGGAATAGGTGCATTAAGTTGACTCACTTTTTTTACTAAAAATGTTGAATCTGGAGATATCACTGTCTGTATTTGTGTTTCAGTATATACCAGATGCAGGTTTAATTATGGAAACTAGACTTGCTTTAAAGCAACTATAGGAAAGGTGACTGTCCTGTTTTTCTTTAGTCTCCTAGCTTCCCAACAGGCAAATTCGAAGGAAAAATTCTAGCAAATGTAAATGATTTTAGTTTATCTCCACACCCTTGGAAAAAGCCTCAAAAACCATGTAACACCACCCTCCCTCTCAAAAAGCTGGCAGGAAAATGGAGAAATTCCTGGTAAAATGCCTTCCTTATCTTGACAATTGTACAGAGTGGTAGTGCTGCTCTTCCTGTGCCCATTTACTTGTAGAAGGTTCAGTGTGTCTCACTGATGGCATGTACAGTGCTTTTATCATGGAGTGCCTGGAGAGGCATATCCCAGGCTGTGATATGCCTCTTGCCAAAAGTAATGCATCAGCCTGGATTGAGCTGAGTGCTTTCCCTTTACATGATGCATGGAACTGTAAGGTTTCTTACACTTGATCATAAATTTGTGTTCTTAGTTGCTTGTGACTTTATCAGACTGATCAAAAATTGGTTGCGCAAATAGAATTCTTCCAGTGCTAAGGAGCAGAAGGCATTAGTGGGACACTGTTGTTTTTCTCAAATTCAATATAAGGTTCTGTGGGCAGGTAGTCAGCATTGCTGATGGATTTTTATTTAGGTTGATGCTTGTGAGAAGTTGTGTAAAATTGCTTCGGTTAATGAGTTTCATCCTTTCTTGACAATTGTTTCTATTTTCACTAGTGGGAAAAATATATGATACCGAGTACTAGCTTCATTAATCTGGTTTTGTGCATTTTGGTGGATAAAATGGAGGCTGTTTTTAAAAGTTAAATTCCACTTTGCATAATTGCATCCATACTAAGCAAGTGGATCAAACAGCCATTAACTGAACCATTGACTAATGGCCACTGGTAGAGGAGAGAAGTTAATGGGCAGGAGGGGTCTGCTGCTGTTGAACTTGAGACCTGTATCAGATTGTCTTTTGGTTTGTAGCCTTTTCCAAGAAAAAAATGCTACTGATTTGGCATACTGCTTTATAGTGTGGCTACTGATCACTGCATCTCCTGAAAGATATGCCTTAATGCTAGCCTGCAGAAAAGCAGAAGTAAAATCTGCTATTGGCACATGTGCTCCAGGTATAACATTTCCATATTTTTAAATTGAAGCTAATAACAAATGTTATTAATGCTTGCAATTTTTATGCTTTATTGTGATCATGGCTGTCAGTTGACTTGTATGTAAGAAGTTTCTTGGCTATATACATTTGTAGACACATAAACATTTCATTTAGAATTTGATGATTTGCAGGTTCTAGTCATGTATAAAAGGGAAATTGAGTTACAAAACTTGAAGTAGGTCTGTGCATCTGAAGCTACTGCTGTACCACTGCTGGCAGATATTACTAAAGGTCCCATTAAGTATCAGAGGAACGGGGGGAAAAACCACCAAGCACAAAAACATGCATTATTTCTGCTAACAAGCATACGGATCTGAGAAGTCCTCTTGCCACCTTAAGGTATCTGTTCCTGTAGCAGAACCAAGTGGTTTAGGGCTGAGTTACTCCAGTGCTTGTTGCTGTTACTACTATGGGATGTGAATGGGTGATACTTCAGTAGTGTGACTTGAAACTGGTGGCTCAGGTGAAGGGTGACCTTGCCAAAAGGGATTATTTTTTTGTTTTGAACAAATTGCACAAATTGATTCCTTTTGTATAACTGAAGGAATATTGAAGTGTACAGTGCATCCATAATGGAACTTGCCATGTACTCTAATTCAGTTTCAGTTCCCTCTGTGGATTGGTCAATTGCTTGTATGGTTCCAGATGTGAATAAAATTTTTCTTGATAAGCCTTTTACAAAAGAACAAGTTTAAAGTACATACTTCGGAGGAAAAAAGGGATTTTTATTTTTTTTAATGTATGTCTGTGTGTGTCATGATGCTGATTCCATAAGATCACATCTCGAAATTTTGATGTATTTTAGGTGAAAAGCATTCTTTGGACTGGACCAGATATTAACTCTGACAGGAATGAAAATCTGAAGAATTTTGTGAACCTACAGCTCTCTAAAGAAATTGATGAGCAGGGTAAGAAGTCACTTATCTTGCATAAACCTTACCTTGTGGGTATTTGGCTGCTGTAATACAGAATATGCCACTTCCTGCTACGTAAATGGAAAGAACAAAGGCAGTTATGAAGGGTGAAGACAGCAGTCACATTCAGTCTTCCTCTCTCCTAGTATAAGACAAAATATCATCGTTCTGAATACTTAAACCTGAAAATGGTACTGGCAGATGTGTTTTACACAGTACAGATACACGGTGGCAGAATGTGAAGTTTGGTGAGGGAAAGGTGAATTGTTTGGTGTCTGTTTACTTTGAAATGTAAGAACAAAGTGAGGTGCTGTGTTGGCTATGAAACTGGGGGAAGTAGAGCATTTTTTTTTTAAACTGGCTTTAGTATATGGATGTCATGACTGAGGAATAACTTCAGGGAGTTGCTCTGGGTTTGAAATACTCTAAAATGCATGTCATTTGAATTTAATATCTGACAAAAAAAAAAGCTTCAAAGTTTTGCCTTGTAATTTTTTTGGCAAGCAGTGGAAAGCTGGCATTGTGAAGAAGCTTGAACAGAAGAAGGCTGAGAACGAAGCCTCTTGTTTCTTCTGAAGATCTATCCGACAGTGTATAGTTAAATTGTACTGGATTTTTCTGTTATTTTCTCTTGACTTCTTTAGCTTCATAGCCACAGGTGATTCATTGTAACAGCTTCTGACCTTTTGTTCTTGGAAGCTTTATGTTGTTAATGGACCAAAAGCAGAATGGCTTTTTAAAAAATAGGTTGTGGGAATTTAGAGTGTTCTTGATGGACAGGAAGGATAATCCTGTGGCAGAATTGACTTACTATAGTGACTTTCCACTTTGAAGCTTTTATTTGTACCAAAGAAAATGTAATTCCTGCAGTGCAGTGCAAACCTGGATTTAGCTTAATTTTTCTTTTTAAACATGAAGAGTTTCTGTGCTTGACATGATGGAGCAGGGGGAAAGTAATTTGCCTGTGTGCAGGTGAATCTTTTTCCTGTTTCCTAAAACAGGGACAGCTGAGGGAAGAGTAAAGGTCATTTAAACATACTCGCTGCTGTTACAGATAAGCTAACAATAGTTTAGGTCCTCTTTGCTCCTTGCAGATTAGAAAATTACTGAAAATGTTAATAATGTTTTCCTTAGTGCCTTATTTTGAGAAGTACTTAGACTCTTCAGCACAATGAGTTCAGTTATTCTTCCCTAAATAGTTTATACTTGTCTTTAATTGCAGTTTGGGTCATTTTTGATGGAAGGTTATTTTGTGAATTTATAAGCTTCTTAGGGAATCAGTACTTAAGCTGAACTATATGGAGTTACCCCTTGTTAATCTATTGCATACCAAACCGCCCTTTTTCTGGAATGTTAGCCTATCTCCAAGGAGCAATGCATGGTTAAGATAAAATATAGTTGTGTTGGGTTTTTTGTTTGTTTTTCTTGTTTGGTTGGTTGGTTTTGTTTTGTTTAACCTCATATAAGTACCTAAGACTGAAATGTGTTAAAGTGCAGGTTTTGGAAGCTGGGATTTCGCTCACTCTCCTCTGTAGTTTTGATATTGACAAATGTGTCTCCCAAATCTGACAGCCTAGGAGAGGGACTTGCAACTTAATGTAATATGATGAGCTAGGGTGATGTGTGTGTCAGATCTATACCTGAAACTGCATTATGACTGGCCTTTTTTACTGCTAGATTTTGCTTCTAGGCCTCCCTCCTGGGTATGTCACTGCTGTACAAGTCATTGAGTTTGTCCTCTGCCTCATACATGCTTGCACAATTCAGAAGGTAGTAGAGAGGCAAGAAGCTGCAGCAGAAGATTTGCTCATCAAACCACATCCTAAAAATAATGTGGTGATTTTAGGTGTCTCTGGGTTGCTTTCTCTGAAGACCAGCAAGGCTAGTAAATGTTTTTAATGAGCAGCATATAGAACTGGAAAAGGAAATTGCTTATCTGAAAATCTGAAAGTTGGTGTAACTTTGATTTGTAAAACAAAAAACATAGGTTGTAAAAAATGCAACCTCGGGGGTATAGTGCAGCTGCTGTCTCATTCTGAGAGAATTCACAGCCACAATTTTTCTGTAATTCTCTTGGTTTTATATCCTTCTGCAGTGAGGCTGTTAATTGAGGCTGCTGTGGGTCATTTTGGACACTAGAAACTGGGACAAGACAAAGTCTCTCTTTACACAATACACAGCTGTTGGATGAGAGTATCTACTTTAGATTTCAAGTACAGTTTAAAACTTAAGGTGACAGAGTCCTTTGTTTTCCCTTCATTTTTTTCCCCCTTTTTCACCCTTCACTGGGAGTGCATCACTCCTTTCATTTGTGAGTACAGCTTGGAGGTGGGGTATCAACCCACCTAAACATCATCAGTAATCTGAGGTATTTGTGAATTTTCTGCGTGTTCCTTAATGAAACTTACTGTTCTGTTTTTCTTTTATTATTCTTCAAATCCGTATTACAACAGCATTGGTGTCGCTGCCATCTTTGTGTGTCTCAGATTGCTTCTGTGAGTGCATTCCAACAGGTGTGTTGTTTTTGTTTTCCTGGCATTTATTTTGCAATTTATTAGGAACATAATGCTTTAGATCTGTATTTCAGTCTAGTTCGAACAAGTTTAGCTCAAGTAGTGGTTGAGTTGTGGTTTTGATGGAATGCTTGTTTGGCAAGCTTTGTCTGTAAGTGCTTCGGTGTTTTCAGCACATAATATTTTGGGGCAGCCATAATGCAATTGCATAATCTTAAACTATGTGCTTTACAAATAGCAGATGTTTATAAGTATTGAATGCAAGCCTTGAGCAGTTGAAGAATTTGGTGCATGACATGTCAGCATCTCAGGCTTTATTAAAAAAAAAACCCCTTTTTTTTCTTTTTTCCATTACCTGCATAGTTCAACCTAATACAGATCTGATGATGATGCAGTAATGTGTGGGATTTGTTTCAGGTTTTATAGGGGCTCCTTATTGAAGCGTCTTGTTCTACTTGGGTTGCTAGTCTGTGGTTTCAGGTGACTCATTTGTGATCCTTGTGACGTTCCACCCTCTATTCTGCCCCAAATTGTGGCCAGGAAACTTTGATTTAATAGGGGAGAGTTCTGATCACATTAAGGAAATGCTGAATAGTGTAAGTACTGAAAAATGAGAGAACCACACTTGTTTTGGTTATCTGAGAGTAACTTATTGAGAGATGCTTATTGTTTGAAACTGTTTTACATGTGGCGGTTTTGGGGTCTGTTAAATCTAAGACTTAAATACTGCTAAAACTGTACATAACAGCTCTCCTCTCCCGTTTTTTAAATTCTTACTATGAGGTTAAAAATGTAAGAAATGTTGTATTGCAAGCAGTTATTTTTAGTTTTCTGCTAGCTTCAGGACTGCCAGTGCTGCAGATGACAGATTTGGGGTGGTGTTTTAATAAGTGCCCCATCCTCAATGAATTCACTTCTTAACTCAAACTATAATCCTAACGTTGATGATGTCCTGTGGTCACAATTATATATTGTAGAGAAGAAAGTTGCTTTTAAATTTCTTGTTAAATTCTGATTATTGAGATGTCACCAATCCTTGAATACCATAGATGACTTTTTCCTGCTTGTGTTCATGGTTTTAGCTGTTGCTTTTTTAGTTCTTCCAAGGCTGTAATTGTCCTTAATTTTTGTTTGTATGGAATCTGATTGTCTGTTACTTTTTCTTTAGTCTCTCTATTATCTTTGAACAATGTGAGTGACAAACAGTAGTCAAGAACAACCATGGTAGATTGTATGTAGCAGTGATTTCTGATTTGTTTTCCTTTCTAAAGTATCCCAATTCTTTTCACTTGCTTTTGATAGTGGAAAGCTGATTATTTTCAGTGAATTATCCATAGTGACTTCAGTTTTTTATCTTCCTGAAGGCTTAACAAATGTGAAGCCTGTTAATATGTAGATTCACTTGAGGTTATTTTTTCCCTTCCTTTTAAATTTGTTGGCAATGGATTTGATTTCACAATCAGCCTGTCACTGTGGAAAGCTTCTGCAGCTATTCACAGAATCTTTCAGATAAGATTCTTCTGACTAATCTGAATCTCACACTTTTTAGCTTTGCAAAGCTTATAAAAGTTTCTGTATCTGTCAGTTTGCTTCTTGTTCCTGAGCATGGGTCAAAGTGTAGATCTTTGAGAAAGCTGATCATTGCAACATCCTATTCCCTATTTCATTTTATTATTTTATTTTATCCTTTGGTCATAATTAAATTTATTTGGTCATAATTAAAAAAAATCTCATTGCTTCTGCTTATCTCCCACTTAGTATTTATTGATGGGTTATAATTTCCAGCTAATTTGTCATTCTTTCAACCTATGAGAGCTTGGTTTCTGTAAGACCCTTCAATGAGAGATCTTGCTGTTCTTGTTAACTTCTGTGTATATTCTTGAACTTTTTGGATATAACGCATTGAATAGTTTTTGTATGCTAAAACCGTCTTAAGTGGCTGGACCACTCTTTCTGGAAACGAGGGTGCTTTACTATGTACATTGTTGTAACGAAATTGTGATGTTTTTCTTTGAACAGGCAGGCAAAATAAGATGAATAATAAAAAGTATCTCTAGCAGAGCCAAAAGGCACACCTTGTAGTTGTGGCAATAGCATGAGATAACTCTGAATGCGTTTTAACCTGTTTCATTATGCTGCCTCAGTTTCATTATACTGCCCAGGCTGCTGCACAGTAGAACTGGAAATATTTGAAAGACACACATTCCCTGCCAGTTGTGAGGCAACCACACCCTGGCTTGTTTGCTCTTATGAAGGTGCATTTTTAATATTGTAAACAGTTCCTTGTGGTTGTTGTGTAATAAGAAGCTGATTTAATGAAGTTTTTGAAAGGAACACATACTGTAAATGTCAGCTTTACTTAACAGGTTCTTTTGTTTGAAAACTTTGAACTGTTGAATAAAATGTGTGGCTGCAATTAAATTTAACCATATATGTAGTACTGTGATACAGCTGAGGCAGCTGTGTCTGTTCCTTGTGCTC